CACAGTAGTGAGAGTCTGCTCAACGGACGTAGGAACAGAGGCTTCTACTAGATGGGAAAAACAATTTTTCAAGTGTTATTTTTCTGAAATATGCTACAACAACCTACTTTGTAAGTCATATCCCTAAAATTCCCACCTCACCTTGACTAGAATCAGCTGTTCCACTCGGTGCAGGTTTCTGTGTTTTCGTTCGTCGTGGCCTGCCTTGTTTTCTGGTTGGCTCTGGTGGGGTGGGGGCAATGTTGGCTGTGTTGTTTTGGGAGACCGCCTCTGTAACCTGCTGGACAGATGGGTCTGCGGCAGGCGCGGGGGTTTGACAAAGCAGCTGGTCCGGGACTGGAAGGGTCCCTGTTGGTGGCCCCTTTGTCGGAGGGACTCCGGGTTTGTTGGACACCATTTCTGAAGACACAAAGGATGAATTACTTCATCCAACAGAGCTATACTTCACATTGTACAGACTTTAAAGCACACATACCTGGTGGAGGTGGAAGTACAGGCAGCCTAAGAATAGGCCGATCCATTTTTTTGGCATAAAAAGCTCCATACCAGACTCTAAGCTCTGTTCCGGGCAGGACATCCTGGGATGGAGCAAATGAGAGAACAATCAAAGTAAAATGAGCATTTGAAGTTTAATAACACACATAATAAACTAAGCTGTTTATTATTTATCTGTAACCGTCCTCACTATACAATCACAGTGCTATGAATGGCACAGAAGTGACAGAAGTGTGGCATCAATTCACCTGTGATGTATTGAAGTAAACATCATCATCTTGCTGGTATGCCGTCAGATTCTGGTGTTTGTGGTCTGTGGCGGGTCGAACCAACATCATCCAGTTACAGTCGTCTTCATTGGATGTGTCAAAGCACACCACTGAGCCATCCTTTTGAAATATCTAAGATAAATAATAGAGAAAACATTAATCATAGGCCCATTTGGATAGGAGTGGCATATTGACAGTCTGTTGTTTACCTTTAAAGGAAATGCCCCCTCAATTTGAAGGCTTGGAACCCTCTTGGCCTCAAACGGGCCAAATTGAGTCCTCTTAACCAGCCGACTAAGCACAAATACACCTTCTTTGCCCTCCTCAGCCGACCTGATCTCCAAGCTGTCTGGTAAAGATGACCTGGAACATGGACAATGATGATGTTCAAATTTTAAATTAAATGATATTAAAATTAAAGGTTAATATATAATATGTATATATATATATATATATATATATAATATATATCTATATAAAATGGAAAAAAAAACTTTTATTCAGCAGGGAAGCATTAAATTGACCAAAAGTGACAATAAAAACTTATATACTGTTACAAAAATATTCAGTTTTAAATAAATACTGTTCCTTTCAATTTTGTTCCTGAAAAAAAAAAAAAAAAGTTTCATGGTTCCCACAAAAATATTAAGCAGCACAACTTTTTAACATTGATGATAATGAGAAATGTTTTTTTGATCACCAAATTAGAATATTAGAATGATTTCTAAAGGATCATGTAACACTGAAGACTGGAGTAATGGCTGCTGAAAATGTAGCTTTAAATTTATAGGAATAAATGACATTTTAAAAAAACAGAAAACAGTTATTTTAAATGTTAATAATATTTCACAATATTACTTTTTAAAAACTGACTTTATATACAGTATTTGTCATAATAAAACACTGGTAATAAACACAAGACAGAGTGAATATCTGGCACATATGGTCATCTAATTGCAGTCAGTGTACTCAAGGAATGCCAAGACCCTCTCTGAAGGTATCTGGCCAAAAGCCACACATGTCCGCTCACCGTGCCCGACTCAGAACAAATGAGTCCTTCACCGTGACGACAGGCCCCAGCTCAGGACACTCAGAGTCATGGTACCGCCTGCAGTCCTCACACCCTGCAGGAAGAACAGTCACATGCACATATTACGCCATGTTCTTTAATAAAACAAGGACACCGCAACAAAAGCTTGACAGTGGCAATGATGATATAATATTATCATTCTTCTGCTTGGTTGGAACAGCAGCTACGCTAATTTCGTCTCTATTTGCGCATTTTAAAAAAACAGAAAACAGTTATTTTAAATGTTAATAATATTTCACAATATTACTTTTTAAAAACTGACTTTATATACAGTATTTGTCATAATAAAACACTGGTAATAAACACAAGACAGAGTGAATATCTGGCACATATGGTCATCTAATTGCAGTCAGTGTACTCAAGGAATGCCAAGACCCTCTCTGAAGGTATCTGGCCAAAAGCCACACATGTCCGCTCACCGTGCCCGACTCAGAACAAATGAGTCCTTCACCGTGACGACAGGCCCCAGCTCAGGACACTCAGAGTCATGGTACCGCCTGCAGTCCTCACACCCTGCAGGAAGAACAGTCACATGCACATATTACGCCATGTTCTTTAATAAAACAAGGACACCGCAACAAAAGCTTGACAGTGGCAATGATTATATAATATTATCATTCTTCTGCTTGGGTGGAACAGCAGCTACGCTAATTTCGTCTCTATTTGCTTCTCTGTTTCTGCCATGGGACTTGCATCCCGAGGCAACTAGGAATTACACAAGTTTCAGTCTGGATCCAACCCTTACGAAGGTCTGAGATGACCGAACACCTGAGGAGAGATGATGCAAACCCCCCAGCAGACCTCAGATGATGCTAACCCTGGAACAACATAAAACTACCAAATTTTGCTTAATCGCAACGTTTAATCGCAATCGCAATGTTTAATCGCAACATATAATCATTGCTGTTAATCGTGTTCGCTGTCTGTTTGATAACCTGTAATTTGTAACTAACTGCATGATTCTTACTGTACATTTCTGCCATAGTCACCACTAATAACCTACTCCTAAATATAATGTAGAAACTTAACATTTTCTGTAAAGCTGCTTTGCAACGATTTGTATCGTGAAAAGCACTATACAAATAAACTTGAATTGAATATTGCACTATTACAATAATGTTGCATGCATATTCATAAACACATGTGAGATTATAGTTGCATACTTACAAATAAACTCATCTGGTGTCTGCTCTGCCATTCTGACACCCTAGAGATGATGCATAACATATGTACATTAGTTTGAACTCCTGTGACAATTTGATCATTTTGTGGCATGGTGTCCTTATGAAAATGTTGCTAATTACAGAACAGCATTTAATATATTTTTTTACTAATTAACCATTAAATGTAGATTAGTACAGTAATTACATTACTGTAAAACATTACATATTCAAATAATACAGACTTGCATTCATGTTGACTTGGCACATTTTTAAAAAATGTGAAACCATTTTCTACAATAATTTGGATTTACTATCTCGCGACTTAAAAAAATACCTGGTAGTGTAACCATTCAGTAATGACTAAATTACTTCTTAAATATGTAATAATAAAAGACTGTGTCAAACAACTTATGCTAACATTTAATTTTTAAGACTTTTAAAACAGTTTTACCATTGCACAACATAAATATTTTTACTTTAAGTATTAAAATGACACCACATACGGTTTATTGAAGTCATTTCTGGTATGAACTGGATTCTCAATGTATCTTTGAATATAACTTCATAAATATGGACTAATATGCACATGTCTAGTAAGAATAAAGAGAAGATTATATCATCATTATACGTTATAAAATTGTAAGTCCTTAAGGTCTTAATGCAAACATACTGTGATAACACATAAATGTATTTTCTCATTATAACTTTGTATTCATTGCATTGCTGTCAGTCAGCAGAGCCCATTACACAGTACAACAGATTTTGTTGATGCTCCCAAGATCAACAATCGTAACAAATGACGCTCTTTATCAACGCAGAACAGGGAGCAGTCCGCGCATGAAACGCCTGTAAGCAGCCAGGGAAAGACTACAATACGGACAGAATCCGTGATTTGGGAAGATTTCAAACTGTAGCCGGGTTTTAACTCCGATCTCAGGCTGCGCTCGCTCTCTTTCAGCAATGCAAATGTAACAAAGAACAATCGGCATGGCGGATGGAATGGAGACGCAGCGCTCATCTGGAGCCAGAGCGTTTGAAAGCGCAAAGCTCGAGAAACTGGCTCCGCTAACACTTTTCATAACTACTGCACCTGTTAATAAGGAGCAGTCGGGCATTTCGTTCAATGCGTTTGAATATAAATGCCTCACAAGTTTAGCATAAAGTCATTACCTGTTCCCCAAACGTCTACACATTTAGTGAATCCTGACTCCGGGTTCCAATCCGCTCCAGAAACCGCGCAGGACCGGAAATAAGACCCGCGAAGGGTATTATGGGAAGTGTAGTTTTTCCACAAACGCCGTACCCTGTGAGATTTTTAGTAAATATTTCAGCCGATCAATTCGATTATGCAAATGCTTTCATGCAAATACAAAACTTCTTAATTTAGAAAGCCACAAAACTGCAAAAAGCTATCACAGGAATGCTCAGTCAATGTTTATTGCTCAAACTATTAAAGATAATACACAATTCCTGCAAAGCACAGGCTGACATTCATTATGTACAGACATCAAAGTCTTTGTCACTTTCTGGTAATAGAGTTGTTTAGTCATGGAGTCAATTTGTAGGCTAACTGGGAAGGTAATTATTGGGTCTGAGGAGTGCTTCATAAACTAACATCCTTGTGGTAGTTGTAGTTCTTATTTAGCACACTAGCAATGTATGTTTTTAAAACGCACAGCACAGTAGTATGTCGATCTGTATTTTATGTTATAAAACAAAACTATTTCCTTCAAGTAATGACAGTCTTTATTTTACTCATAAATCACAAACCACCACTCTTAAAAGCTAATAGAGAATTCTAAAGGCTTTTAAGACTTCAAACTGAACATCGGTAAGTTCTTTCTTCACAGGCCATACATATAAGTGATTTTAATATGGCAGGTAAATGTGTTTTGGTGAGCATACAAATAACTCACAACAACAATTTCTAAGGTCCTTCTGGTTAAGGAGGCCAACAAGAATTCAAGAGAAAGCACAGAGGAGTTAAGTTAATGAGAGGAGTTCTTTAATGCATATGGATATATTATGATGATATGCATATACAGAGGACTGATGTGTTAGATTTCATTTAACGACTGGATCACCTCTGGCCGGCCAATCAAGCATGACAAAAATCTTCACGTGCCTCCTTCCATTTCACTGGAAAATACCGCTTTCATCTTGTGACAGCCAGGATGTACATAGCAACATACAACATAGACAAAAGTGAAAAAAACAAAAAACACAGAACAGTAGTCCTCCCAAAATACATATTTAACAGCCAGACTTGCTGAGGTTTCTTTCTGGCAACATTCAGTATGGACAGGCATTCAGGTTTCTTCTACATATGCAGTTTGAGGTCAAGTAAATGTCAAGCAGAGCCTGTTATTGAATCTCCCATAATACAAATCCACTGCAGTTCTCCACATAGGCTCAACAGATGAGGTCCAAAATACAAACTTGTTATCATTCACAGCCATTTCAGCTGGCTTAAGAGTACAGGTAAAAGAAGACTGCACACTTGGGAAAATCTCATAAATCATGAACTTATTGATTAGCTAAATTCTCATACATTCTGGTCTTTCTCTATGGGAAAATGCCCTTGCTTAGTGTTAAAAACCTTTGGTACAATTCAAACACATTTTTTTTTAATGTGAGGCATGATGGAATAACTGTGGAAAAAAGTGAACAATCAAACATGCTTACACATAATTACACTGAATGTGTACTTAAAAGGATAATATTTAAAATAAAATAACCTTTTATTGATATTTTCCCATCTCTGTTTGAATATTTAGAAATTAAAAGATGAATAAAAAAACAAACCTGTTTTAAAAGCGAACATATCAGTGCCAAACCAGAACATTTTAAATGTTACGCTCCGTTTTGAAAATGTTTCGCTGAACAATAAAACTCACTATTCCCAGAGTCAAATTTGGTGAAACTGCAGATTTTTCTGCCTAACAAAATGAAAACTCCCATATTCAATTCACATCAAAAACAGAGGTCTTTCACATAATTTTTGGTTTTTTAATAAACTAATTCAGAGCATCTTCACCACCAAACCTCACAGAATTCACTGCACATCCCTGCAAATGCATTTGGAATGAGTTCTGAGCATATAAGCAAGTGCAAATCAAAATCGATAGTATTCCCTTGTCTGATATTCCAGGATCCATCAGGTCGCCAGAGGGTTTCCAGAAGGTTAAAGCTCAGGTAGATAGCAAGAAAGAGTCCAAATCCCGCTTTGGTTAGAAGGCCACAAACGCAGAATATCTTTTGCATGACGATCAATATTTGCATAAGGTTAAATGACACGGAGTCATTTGGAGCGACGAAGAGAGCGAGTGCTCATTTCAATGCTGTTTTGTAAACTTTCTTGCATACAAATTTCAAAGATGAAGGTGAATGGCGTCGACGGAGGGAAAAGTGCCCATGACATTCCTCCTCATGGATGGAGAGATAAATCTAGCGCCAGGCAGACAGTCTTCATGGAGCAGAACCAAGCTGTGAGGTCTGAATAATGGAATAGGTTTTCAGGGAATCTGGATCATGGTGTTAATATGGAGTTGATGAGAGTGATTGTTGCTATGCAGAGGTTTTGGCAAATATGGCCCAGAAACAAGCAACAACTTGCATAAATGTTATGAGAATGAATGTGAAAAGGAGGATGTTAGAAAGATTAAGAGGTACAAAAGCTATTAGCTTTGATGAAGGCGACGGAGTGGGCAGCTCATGTGGGCGGTTCTCTCACCGTGCCGTTGGTTTTGCTCTTGCTCCTGGGCAGAAGCTTGCGGTTGATGATGCGCCTGAAGGTGGCCGTCCTCTTTTCCCTGTCGCCCATCATGGCTGCCTCGGGATGCTCTAAGTACTGCAGGTCATTGTGGGACTGGCTCATCCCCGGCTCCTTTCGCTGATGTCGCCGTCTGAAGAATAGCTTGGCACTCTTGTGCAGGAAGCTGCCTACAGGGGGCGCCAAACAGAGATGAAAACAATCAGACAAGTTCCCCAACACACAGTACTTCACTGAGCCAACCTGGAGGTCAAACTCCACAGTCAGATCAACTGAGAAATTAGGAATCAATTAATCTTTCGATTTTGTTGACCTCCATGAAGACACAGTGGATGTGTAGGAATTCTGACGTAAACTGAATATGCTTGTATCAGTGTGTCTTTTTCAGCTCTGAAAGATGCTACTACAATACACTGGTGGCATCAAATGTAAATTAGCTGAAAGAACACAAGCACACTACTAAAATAAAGTGCGCAAACGTATTCGAAAGTGCTTGGTTTTAGAATTAAAGCAGTATAAACCAGTCCACACCAGCTCAGAAGTTTCTGGATTTTTAAAGCTGTTTGGGCAAGTTATCAGCCAAACATCTCAATGGGCCAACAATGATAAGGTTCAACAGCACAAAACTAAAAGGGATGCCTCCAAAGATTTGAGATGCTAAACGGCATGTCAAATCTTTCTCCATGTCCAAAAGTTAAGTCTGAAATTTAAATTTATTTAAATACAGGATAATAACTTTTATTACTAAGATTATTAAAATGCTGGAGCATGGATTGGCTTTTTACTAAAGGTTAACCATTTCACAGGGAAGTCTACATACTTTTACTATTATAGACTTCTCAAGAGGTCACTTACTCTTCCAGCAATAAAGTCTGGTTAGCACAGGTTTCCACTTTAAGATGGCAAAGAAAGAAAAAACACAAAGTGATAAGGGAGAGGTACAGAGGACAAAAAAAGAAAGTGGATGTCATCAAATGTCAGAAGTACAGACAGAAAGACACTAGACAGTGCTGTAACGTTCATATTAGACAAACAAAGGTAAGGCAGAATTTTGTAACTCTGTGTTAGCTGTGGCACCCCAATAATAGACTCAATTTTGAGAGAGATTATCACTAAGAAATACTTCACTCTTCTCTCAAAGGTTGTTCACAAAGCATCTCAAGTGACAGAATAAACAACTACTTTTCATGTGAAGTTTGTAGAAATTAGCATTAAATTGACAAAAAGTGACAGACACTTTCATGCTGTTTTTGTCACTGAATGTATGAGTTTCCACAAAAATATTATGTTGCACAAAATATCAATAATAATAAATGTTTCTGGAACACTATATCAGCATATTAGAATGATTTCTGAAGGATCATGTGACACTGAAGACTGGAGTAACGGCAAAACCGAGCCATGACATATTGTATTTTTGATCAAACAAATGCAGCCTTGGTGAACATAAGATTCCTAAGATCAAAAATTCCTAATCCAAAATGTTTGAACGGCAATGTTAATGCAGACCATTGACCTTGTTTTTCACATGAAGTCCTGTGATCACATTTATAACTCCAGTAAAACGCTTTATGTAGTTTGAAGATGTAAAGAGGTTAAATACAAACTCAAAACCTTGCATAATAGACTCAATTTTGAGAGAGATTATCACTAAGAAATACTTCACTCTTCTCTCAAAGGTTGTTCACAAAGCATCTCAAGTGACAGAATAAACAACTACTTTTCATGTGAAGTTTGTAGAAATTAGCATTAAATTGACAAAAAGTGACAGACACTTTCATGCTGTTTTTGTCACTGAATGTATGAGTTTCCACAAAAATATTATGTTGCACAAAATATCAATAATAATAAATGTTTCTGGAACACTATATCAGCATATTAGAATGATTTCTGAAGGATCATGTGACACTGAAGACTGGAGTAACGGCAAAACCGAGCCATGACATTTTTGATCAAACAAATGCAGCCTTGGTGAACATAAGATTCCTAAGATCAAAAATTCCCAATCCAAAATGTTTGAACGGCAATGTTAATGCAGACCATTGACCTTGTTTTTCACATGAAGTCCTGTGATCACATTTATAACTCCAGTAAAACGCTTTATGTAGTTTGAAGATGTAAAGAGGATAAATACAAACTCAAAACCTTGCTCAGCATAATCTAAATGTTGTTGATGTTCATTCACAGAAAGCTCAAAGTTCATCCCTCACCTTTTCCTTTTTTGGAACCCGTTTCAGAGATACAGAGAGATGTTTTATCCGCATCTGGGTCCTCTCCAGCCTGGCTCTCCCAGTCCTCCACGTGGTCTGTGCCATTCGCACCCACCAGAGATTCTGTGGGTTCAAGAACGCTGGGTTCTACCACTGTTTCTGAGGGTAATGCTTCGCTGCTGGTGCCCTCAGATGCTCCGGACATTGAAGCGTCCATCGCAGCTGCATATCCTGCCATCAGAGCCATCTCCTCATCCTGTGTCAGAGGGGCCTAGAGAGGAGGTTAATAGTAAAGCCTTAATTAGAAACCGATAATTTAAGAACTTGTTTTATGATGTAACAGTGTGATTATGACAGGTACCTCTAACTACCTGTAGATACAACATAAATGAATTCTGTTTGAGACAGATAATATCCGTTTGATAATTTTGTATGAATAAATTAAAAATGCCAAACTACAAACATTATTTTAAGCCTTAGGAAATGCTTGCTGATTTAAATTTTTGTGTGAATTCTTGGGTTGACAATCTTGACTAAGGTTTTGAAGGTTTCAAATTTTCAAAGAAAACAATTAACTGTCTAATACCAAAAAGCTGTTAATTTTGTACATTTTGTATAAATAAATCAAAATCAGTAAATTCTACAAGTGACAATGGGCATCACAACATTAAAATTTAAAATAAATCATGCAGCATTCATATCTAAAAAGATTGGAAATTGTCCCAAAAATTAAGTCTTGCAGATTTTTTTATTTTGTGTGAATCCTTGGCTTGATAATCTTAACCAAGGTTTTGAAGTTTTCCAATTTTTAAAGAAAAAAAAAAAACAGCCCTCTGACACAAACAAGCTGATTAAAATGTTGCACTATTTTGTATAAATAAATAAATTATTTTTTAAAAATGATACAAGTGAATGAATATAATAACTGAATATTTACCAATTATATCATTTAACAACTGTTATTAGTGTTTTAAAATTAACTAAGTAAAAGTAATCTAAATGTAAAAATGAGCGAAGCACACACTATTAAATATACAATAACTGATATTGTACATGCCAACTAAATATGCATATGTGGTTTACAGAGTTGTCTTTTTCTCTACCTTGGCCACTCCTGAGATGATGATGGTGCTCTTTTTGACAGGTGATTTGAGCTTTTGTTTTGCCGACTCATGGAGCTGTCTGATGGCAGCTTCGGCTACAGGGTCGGTCCCGTTTAACATCAATAACTCTGTGCAGGAAAACGAGTGAAAAAGAGTTTTAAAAATGCTGAATGTAACCATTACTAATGTGGCATTTTGAATGTACACTTGCTCCAGGACTGCTGATGAGCATTTGCGGTATAGAAAGTGTTAATAAAGAAAATGCATTTAGCCATTTATGCCAACAAGCTTTACTGGAAATCCCACCTGTATCTGATGATGACAGGGCTTTGCTAACTTTGGCTCCGAGTAGTGACGTCTGCTCCGACACCCTTCTCTCTGCCAGCTTGTTTTTAGAAGGCGATTTGGATTCTGTAAGAGGGAGTTTTAAACCAAACATGAAAATCATATTGGAGATTTTGATATTGTGGTTTAGGAGATGACATGACAACTGTAGCATCTTTATATTAAAGTTGGATTTCAAATACCCAAGTAACTTTCAGATTGCATTCTCAAAATCTACAACTGAATCAACGGCCAAAGGAAGGTACCAGGTGCTAAAGGTCGTCCTGGCTTGCTCCTCACGGCAGTGACAGTGGTAACAACGGTGCCACAGGGCATCACAGTGCGGTCCATCTCCACTTTTTTAGTAGGGGCCGGCGTGGGCATCTGCCAGCTACGCACCTCGCTGGGCTCCAGGTAGGTGAACTACACAAAAGTTCATTTAGGTTGGTAAACAAATATTCAAATAGCATATATAATTTGCCAATGGCTTATATACAGGTCTTTCTGTATATTAAGCTAGGACATTTTAACAAAATGTAACAAACATGACAATTTAACAAAAAATTAAGCTGCTGTACACATGAACTACATTATTACGAAATGCAAATGCAATTAAAATACATAAAGCATCTAATTTCTATGAGGTATCTATGAGAATTAATTCTGAAATGTGATAAACATCTAGTTACCTCAGTAGTTAGTGATCCGGTCACTTGATCTTTGGTCATGAGTGAAAACGTCTGTTGACCTTTGGGGTGTTTCTTCACTAGATCAAAAGGCACAGATACCTGCCCTAACAAACCATCTGGGAGGAAAACAGAGAGTGATGCCTGATCAAATCAAAGTAATGTACATTATTTGATCAATGTGTTTGCAAAGGCAGGCAAAAGTGACACCAAGCACACAGACAAACACATTTCACACAAGCTGTTATGAAATCAGGGTGAAAGGCCAATGACATGAAGTAATATAGGCTGTCACGTGTCTGTTAGAAGAGTTCAAGTCAAGATATTATCACAGATTCTATTAGCTCAATGAATCTACCACTTGGACAGAATTTTTGAGGCTATTTCATTATTTAGAGAAACAGATGACCGAAAGTAGATTAAAATTCACAGTTGACCTTCAAGCTTTTGCAAACCCAGATTAATGGATATCACTTCTCTGTTTTTATGCCGTTAAGCTGGTTTATTTTTGGTCATGTGGACTTACTCTCCAGAGGTCTGCCGTTATCCACAACCTGGATGTTCAGCTCTTTTGACCGGCCGCTAAGCTCACTGCAAAAACAGACAAAGACAAGAGATAAAATAAATCATGCAGCATTTCATTTTAAAAGATTAGATGATGCCCCAAAACTGTCAAACTACAAACATTTTATTGTTTAAATCTTAGGAAATGCTGGCTGATTTTATATTTTGTGATTTCTTGTTGACAATCTTGATCATGGTTTTGAAATAAACTGCATATAAAATGCTAAAAAAATATTCAATATAATTTAAAACACAGAATTATTGAAATAAATTAACTTTTCCACGACATTCTAATTTATTGAGATACACCTACATACATACATACATACATAACACTACTAGCATTACAAAACAGAAGTGCACAAATAACTTTCAAACAGGTTTCCCAGCTAAACAGGTAGTGCTGCCCCCCAACATGTGACTGATTCACGTTTTCCGCATCATGTCACCCCCTTCTCTACTAATATTTTCCTGTCCTACCTCTACTGTACTTTTATATGAGCAGCAAATGGGTTAAAAAAAATCTGGTTCGATGTGTGAATGTACCTGTGTAAAACTTGGTGTAAGCTGCAAATTTGAGTCCAGGTGAAGCACCCCCCAGGAAATCTCCACCTCCTCATTCACCTCTTTCATCTGTAGGGCCAGCTGTGCCAACAATACACACACACAAACGTTACTTGCAACCATAGACTCAAAACAAGGGCTGTGTGCAAAATTGTAAAACCTAAAACCTCTTTTAAAGTGATAGTTACCCAAAAATGAAAATTTGATGTTTATCTGCTTACCCCCACGGCATCCAAGATGTAGGTGACTTTGTTTCTACAGTAGAACACAATTGAAGATTTTTAACTCAAATCATTGCACTCTGTCAGTCATATAATGGAAGTGAATGGGAATCACGGCTTTATGAGAGGAAAAAAAACCATACACAAACAAAACCAAATTAAACCCTGCGGCTCGTGACGATACATTGCAAGAAACTGAACAGTATTTATATCGGGGTTTTTTTACCTCTGATGCACTGCAATGTCTGAACTGTCCTGAGCGCGTTCTCGACAGCCGGCGCGTGACGCATCTTCTTAATGCACTTATAAGTCTGCGATCTGCTGTAAAGCAAGAAGATGCGTTACGCGCCGATGCAGTGCATCAGAGGTAAAAAAAACTATATAAATACTGCTCAGTTTCTTGAAATTTTCATTAAAATATAGTATATTTATAACGCAATGCCTTTATCACAAAAACGAAATATGTTGCGTGCCTTATTCTGTGTAAGAAGCCACCATCTCATAGAAGGATTTATTTCAAACACTCGACTGACGTTATGAAGTGAGTTTGGAGTAAAAATTTTAATAAATGTGGTATTTTCACATGCTTTCAGATGGAGCAGTATTTACTTCACAGAGCAGTAGTTCACTGAGAAGCTATGCAGACAGCTGTCATTATCGCGAACGATTTCTTCGATTTCAGAATCGCGCAATAAAATCGTCTGCAATTTTTTTGCGTAACTTGTCAGTGAACTACGGCTATGTGTAGTAAATTCTGCTCCATCTGAAAGCATGTGATGATGATTTCCTGCTGATTACAGAACCGGCATTACTATCAAAATGCGCATGACAATCGCATTCGATTAATCGTGCAGCCCTAACATCAATGTAACGTCACGAGCCGCAGGGTTTAACTGAGCCGTACCGAGCCGAGTCGTACCACGCAGTGGAAAAGCGCCAAAAGTCACCTACATCTTGGACGCCCTGGGGGTAAGCAAATAAACATAAAATTTTCATTTTTAGGTGAACTATCCTTTAACATGGTTTAACACAAGGTCTTAATTGTCTTGTTGCTTTTACCACTCATGAAACAGAAAACAGACATTTAAAATGTCAACTATCATGTAACAAAATTATAGCATTCCTTTATTTTTATAATATGACAAATTTATTTAGGGATTTTTTTCTGCATTTATTTGTGCATTAAATTGCAGCTATAAAGTGACCACTTTATAATTAAATTGTATTTGCACTACTGTTCAAACGATTGGGTCGAATTTACTCCAGTCTTTAGTGCCACATGATCTTTTAGAAATCATTCTGATTTAGTGCTCAATTTCTTATCATCAATGTCGAAAGCAGCTGTGCTTCTTAAAGGGGTCATATGATGCTTTTTTAAAGATCATTATTTTGTGTATTTGGTGTAACAGAATATGTTGACATGCTTTAATGTTCAAAAAACACATATATTATATGTATATTATTGTAAGTCCTCTATGCCCCGCCTCTCTCGAATGCTTCGTTTTCTACAAAGTCCCTCCTTCCGACAAGAGCAGTCTGCTCTGATTGGCCAGCTGACCCAGTGCATTGTGATTGGCCGAACACCGCAAGTACTCGTCGGAAATGTAACGCCCCTTACCATAATCGCGAGCTTCATCTTTCAAAATAAATGTAAAGACAGAGCCCGAAAGGGGAACAGAGTCTTGTGACAGACACAGTGATGAATATGTGTTTGCAGTACAAAAGCCACGGTTAAGACAGCTGACTTCACTGTGACGCGCGCAGACACACACACACACACACACACAACGCTCTCTCTCGCGTGCGCGCGCACGCACGCACACACACACACACACAC